GCTTGAGCTAATTGGGGAGACAACTTGGAATAAGTATGGACGGAGCTAGAGCCTAGGATTTGCACTTGAAGACTATAGGAGAGTAATTTTTCATTTATCCTTTTAATTCAAGAGCTTAGGATTATTTAGTTTTAAATGATTTTAAATTATAATACTTGAGTACAATCTAATTCTAGGTTGTAAATATTTTAAATCTTGAATTTCATTGATATTTGGATTGCTTTTTTGTTGAATGAATTTTTAGAATTTGTGTTTATACAACCTCGCTTTGCCAATTAAATCAGTGATTGAGTTCTCATTATTGATTTAATTGTCATTACAGTGTTTGTTGCAAATTTGGTTATTCCTTTTACTTCTTGATTGTCCAATTGAATTGGCAATTTATCTAATTGTTCAATTAGATAATTTAAATATATTTTTCAGGTTTATTTTATATTAATCATCATTGATTTTAATGAATTTAATTTTACTAAATCGTAATCATAACATTTGATTTACTATGAGTTCTCTAGTGAATTAAGTGTTAGACTTTGTACTCATGGGTTCCCTTTGCTTTAATTAGGTAATTGAATTTACTAATTTCACTTTCCTATCATTTTCCTTTAGTCTAACTAATTGAATTGGGTTAAACAAGTTAACTCCATGTGATATCTTAAGTTGTCCCCTTTACCAAAATCAAATCAAACTTTTTCTTAATTTTTAGTTAATTATTCCTTTTTGTGACTTAATTAATTTCTTTAACTTTTATTTCATTTTTCTTGAAACAAAAACCCCCATCATAATTTAAGACTCATGCATTGCATAATAGAATTTAGTTATTAGACTTTACCATTAGCATCCATTTAGGTAGTTTTAATGGCATAAATTGTATTTTCTCATTTGCATTTTTAGAGTAGAAATCTAGCATTTTGTTTTAGATTTTTTTTAGTAATTAAATATCTAGAATCAACTTATGATAATTTTTAAATTGCTCCTTGAAAAGAATGACCTAAGATTGGCCTATACTATATTAAGTCAATCTTAGTTTAATTGAATGCTGATACGACTTAGGCACTCACCGTCAATCACACACCTTTTACCCCTCGAATTGAATGGCTACAAGGTGAATTTGATTTTGGGTTTGGTTTAATTAGGGTGAGGAGGTTAGACAATGCATTTTCATGAACTGATTATTTTCTTCATTTAATCTACTAATTCCACACCACACACCCTCCCTTTGCCACATGTAGGTTTACTCAGCATATAAAGGATGCCACATTTGACTCCATCTGTCAAACCTACAAACTTAATAGTAGATGTGAATCAAATTAAATGGTTGGTTAACATTGCTATGCTTTTGAAAGATTAAGGGTGACATTGCTTTAAAAATAAGCTTAGGATACCAAATGCACCTAAGGTAAAAGTTTTAGGGTAAATTTACACATTTATCCTTTTATTTAATATGACAATTAAGAAAAATCAACTTGAATATCTAGAAAACTTGTATCAGTCAACATAAAAGAACTACATTTCTATATGTTGTTACCTTTAGTTATTACTCTCCTACTCTTTTTTTCATCTTCGAAAATCTTGAAAACCAAGACAAAACTATCTACTACTTTATCTCAACCCTATTTGTATCTTTTTGTTTGTACTGGGTTGTAGTTGGATGGGTTTTGGCAAGAAGTAAGTGTGTTAATTCTTCTTTAAATATACTTATTCAAATATTGCTTGAAAAAAGTAAGCAAACCACACCCATTATTCTATATATCAGCATCATAAGTCTCTTTTGCATCGGCAATCGTGTCTTTAGAGCCAATTTTTTGTACTTCTTATAACAACTAACTTCCTTATTGTTTCTATTGTTCATTTCTTATTTAATGAAAATATTTCCTATAACAGTGAAGTATTTAATGAAAATACTTCCTATAATGTTTGTATAGATGATTGTGCCAGAGATAAATACTCTTATCCTTTTAGATAGGGAGGTAAAGTCTGTTCTCACCATATCATTAGTTAATTTATGTATGTGCATGGTAGTCTATTTTGTGCCTTCTCTCATATACAACATGATTGCCCATTGAAATTCTGATATCTATTAGGATAATGAACCCTGAACATAAGACTAGATGTAGTGTGATCCGGTTTTGACACAAAATGATATTTAAAAAAGAGGTATTGAAAGGGGGAGGAAGGAATTTGGGAAAGGAAAACTGAGAAGCTGGAATAGAAACTGAATAATTACTGGTTTGGAAAATGAAAAATCAACAAGTCTTACAATCAAACTAGCAAGGGTTATATGATAGAACCCAATCACTCTTGTAAACATAATATAACATAATTTAAAGAAGAATAATTTAATTTTTTTTCACCTCAAAGTGATATGCTAGCTTAGAATAACCATCTAAATTATACCCGGGAAAAGTTAATACTCATCTTTCACGTTACCTATTACTTTTCATATTTGAGTGTTCTCATGAGATGATCTTCTCTTTGTCTTTTTGTTTAGGTTCAGAGTTCAATGTATGTTCCCCCTGTATTGATTTTTGTTTGAATAATGTTGCAAGTTGATAAAGATTTTTTGGGGGGGGGGTAAATGCTTTTCAAATGGTACTGCCTTTTTCTGCCTCTCTTATCTTTTGTCAGCCTAGCTATTGGCCCAAGGTGTTAGGGTATTGCAGTAGACAAAAAACCAATGTTATTAGCCTGTCGGACAAAAATTGTGATGAGAAAATAAATATGTTATCTACATTAAAAATCCATTCTATAACCATATTTATTTCACATATTTTTTGTTTATTCCCTTCATCTGATTTTTTATTGACAAATGCTTCAGAGGCTATTGGAATTATGCATCATACTAATAGCTAGTTGTGCCCAAGACACAGAAGGTTTATGGTAGTCTGTGTTTTTTGCCTTCCTTAGCAGTAGATTGTACTAAGGGATTTGCTTTTTTCTATCCTTTTGCAATATGTTGTACCTAGGCTTATTGCATTTTGGTTTTTCTTCTTTCGGTCTTCTTTGTTATTAGTGAGTGTAAACTTTTTAAAATATTAATTAAATGGCTTTTTTTTTTCTTTTTGCCAAACAGAAAAGAAACGGAAGACATTATACATTCGTGAGAATGCCTGTTACGGTTGAACCTTAATGCCAAAAATAGAAGGTATTTAATAGAGTTAAAATCCTCTCGATGGGGTTCAACGTAGTTTGTGGTTTATTGATCAGAGTTATATGCATGAGGTCTTTAGAGTACTAGAAACTACTTTAGGAAAGAACTTAACCTGATAATAAGTATATCCTTATGCTTTTGTTAGTTTGAGCTATGAAAATAGCATTTTGTTGTTACTAAATAACCAGCAAGTAAATGTAATGAATGACTAATAAAGCTTTACTAATAGCACTTTATTCTTAGCATTGATGTTAATTGTTGAGGTATAAGTAGTATTTATAGACACACATGTTCCCAATAATCGATATCTCCAAGTTTATCAACAACACCTCTTATTATTCATTTAATTATCTAATGAGCATCCTAGTTTCTCAATTGCTGCAATCATGTTCATTAAAATAATATGGCATTCTTAATACAAGATGGTAAATTCTTAGCTAGCTTTGCCTCTTTGTATAATTCAAAGTTCATTAATTGCATTGAAGGAGGCATGTTGCTCACTTTTCTTAATGAAAAATTAAGTTTGCTAAGAAGAACCTACAAGCAGTAAAAGGCTTTTGTTGGATTTTATGCAGATTACACCAATTTTTTTTTTCATATATAGAATGGCATACACAAATCATTGGTTTGGTCACTATTTTTTTGATTGGGAACCATTCATCAATAACAACTAATTTCTTAAATTGATTGAGTTCATTACGAGATGTTCTTTTTTCTTCTTCTTATTTTCTAGGTGAATCCTTCTATATACTTATTCATGTTTATTGCCAACATTGTCAAAGAAATTAGCAATGGTAAATAAGATAATCCATTATTCTTTGCATGAAAGTAAGAACTGACAGGAAGCCTTTATTTTCATAATGAAAAGTAATTTTGATCAATCGTTTTTATCATAATTTATGTTTTAATTATAATTTGAGTTTGTCAATGTTTTTACTCTCCCGTGCATCTTATGGGAGTTAGAATCTAGTTCTCTCTAAAAAAAAGAGCTAGTAATGCCATGCATTCACCTTGATTGGGATTACAGTTGAAGGCTTGAAGCAAAAGGGACAGCTATATAGCTATATTAGAATATAATCTAGCGCCTTATCTAGAAGATAGTCTTATTATCCCTATCCAAATCTCAAAGAGGCCAATCAAACGCTATTTTCCTTCTCAATTCAGTTAACTAGGTACTTTTAGAAATTTAACTTTGTTATGAAATTCCTCTCATCAAAGTTGACTGCATCTCTCAACTTATATGGCCAGCGCTTGTTAATTTATGGGATTGATACTAATGGGGTTGGTTTCAAGAGAAAGGATTAGTTCCTCATAACGTGACGAATTAAAATTTAAATTTTCACTAGATAAGATGCTAACATTTAATACTCAAACATGCTTTAAACATGATTGTAATAAGAAAATACCTGTGACCAATAAAAAAAATTTATGGGATTGATTCAAGTGGGATAAAGCTTCAGTAGTAAAAGCTTTTACCGAACAACACTAGGCTGGCACGAACAAGTACTAGATGCTAAAACAGGGGCTCAATAGAACAGACACGAGAGAATAAAGGGAGGGGGTAGCAGACCGCCAAAATAAGAGTTGAACTAGAGAGAGAGCACTGTAGATCATGAGACATGTCTGTGGCACTCTCCATACCATTTTCACTTTGCCCAGAGAAAAGATCAAATAAGTGTCAATTGGGTGATGATGACTGACTTTATCAATCTTCAATCCCACAAGTAATAATGCTTCAATTTTTTTTTTTTTTATATGAACGCTTCAAATTTTTATCACCACTGCTCCCATTAAGAGTTAAAACCAAGCAAGTGGAAGCGCAGAATGACGGATTGCAGTGCAATTTTACAAGTAAATAGGAAAATCGTGAAGGTCAACTCAAATTATGCTTAATGTTATGTCAACTGTAGGCTTCTTTTTAAATTGAATATACATAATGATCTTGGCTAAAATTACAAACGGTGAAAAAATATTTTAGCAATTCAGAGAATTTCTTCTAATTGCCTTAATTCAGGGTCCAGACTTGCTCTATCTTCATCTTCCACGTTCCTGTATGAATCAGCTACAACTTTTCCCTTACTTAGCACATCAGACGGTACAGTCTGTAAGAGGCTGTAACAGATCTATTATTAGTAATTTTACCTAGCTCTGTCATGCATGCAAAAGACAACGCTAACTAAAATGTTTACAGAGAAAATGAAAAATAAATCTCATCGCAAATGACAAAAGTGTCAAGAAATGGGAAAATTAATCTAAAGTTCAGACTTATTTAACAATGTTTTTTTCCCCGAAATTATGTTTTTGAACCTCAGCAAAGCAATAAAAAGTGTAGTCAGTCAAAATATAAGCTGTAGTTGTTAATAACAAAGATAAAGTCATTAATATAGAAAGCATAATTATTAGTTTAGTTATGAAATAAAAAGTACACTTCCCATCTTCAATAACTTCAATTTAGGTATTAACAACATGGTCGCCCATAACTTCAACTTAGTTATACAATAACAATTACACTTTCTATATTAACATACTTTACCTTTGTTATCAACAACTTCAATTTATGTTTTAACAACTATGCTTTCTATTATTTTTTAGAGGGTCAAAAACATAACTTCACAAAAATTATGTTAGACAAATCTCTGAAAATTTTAGAGTAATTATCCTATTTCGTGATACTCTTTTCTCATTAGTCTATATTGATTCGATTTATTTGTCATTCTCCCATGTTGACATACGTGCAGGACTTATCATGGCAAATCACCTGTCCAAAGCGTCAAGAGTTGCACTAATCTTTGCCTTCATAGACTTGACTGTGGCTTCGGGTTCATTTCTTGATGCATGCAGAAGTAAGGAATCAAGTTCCTCTAGAGCGCTTCAAGAAGGGGGGGGGGGGATTGAATTTCACATCAGTAGAAGTTAGTAGACAAACTATAGCCCCAGCTCCCATGGCTAATTGGGACTGGAATTCGATACAAATTTTCTGTTGGAAAGTGATGACAGTACCTTAGACATTGATCTACATCGTTGAATGCAGTTTTCCCATTGCCACTGTCAGATGCATATTGCGCCACCTGTAATGCAAATGATGTGATAACAACAATGGTTTCTAGCTTGGTTAAGAGTATTTTGTAAGATTTTCAGTTCAAAGGTCTGTCAGTTGGCCTGATATAAAATAAAAGGAATGTTCTTAGTAAACAGTTAATATGGGGTGGCTAACAAGATATCTGTTCTAGTAAGTCATTGTAAAAAAAATTTACTTCTCTTCAGTGATCAAGACCAAAGTTTTATATATCAAAGCAATTCGTCGGCGTGTGAGCAAGTAGTTTCCGTATGCAAGTAAAACCTTTCCATCTTGGCATCTGGATTTTAAAATTAGGAGGAACTGAGAAAGCATAAAATATTTCTCATAAATGTAATGTAAGTATACTTTCCGCTCTATCACAAAACATCTGAGTTTCAGACGTCATCTAACGTGCTGAGGAGTGAAAAAAGATTGGACACCAATGACTTCTGACATTACATAATTTGGTAGACAAAATCTTTTGCAAATTAAATAGAAGTAGCGATCTGTATACAAAAATAAATAAATAAATAAATAAAGAGTAAATCAAGAATTGAAGGAAGTCATTACGTACTGCTCTAATATTTACACGAAGAGATGCTGCAGGGCCCGCACGAAGTAGCGATCGGCAGGCAGCAAATTGGGGTTCATCACTCTCTAACGTTTTCTCTGTATCAGTGAGAAGATAAGCATAAGCAAAATTTAAATTACTTTCCGCTTATGAAAGTTGCATTATCTATCTAGTATAGCATTCAAATAATTACTGTTTAGTGTAGAACAAATATGATGATTGGAAAAAAACATTTAATAGAACTATATTTTTAAAGTTGTGCTTTGATTATTGTATCACCAGATGTGAATATTCCTAAAGAGATGTAAAAACATGTCAACGTAGACATATCTGTATATCTAGAGTGACCTCCCAATCTGCTTTGATTATTGTATTACCAGATGTGACTATTCCCAAAAGAGATGTAAAAACATGTCAACGTAGACATATCTGTATATCTAGAACGACCTCCTAATCTGCTATATATAAGTTTCCACTAGTAAGGCAGCAGTGGAGGAGGAAAAAAGGGCAATACCCAAGTCCTTGATCTGTAGCTGCGTAAGTATGATAGGCGGTACATAAAAGTCCAAAGGATCGAGCCTTTTCCTAGATTATATGAGAACAAATTAGAAATAAATACAGCATTATGGGAAGATAAATATATTCAAATCCATGTCAGCTTTACCTACTAAGAAAAGCATTCAAAACCGAGATATGAATTCTAGCTTAGTTTGGGGAAATATAAATCGTATATTTTGGAGAGGGGTTGATGTTGCTGTTCTACTTTGGTCCAATAGGTTAAACAATAAAACTAACAAGTTTAAATCAATCCATGGCTCTGCATCAGACATTACCTTCTTAATTCATGTCCTTTAGAATAGAGCATAGAAAAGGCCGAAAATTTATACCTTTCTTTTTTATTTTAACTGCTCAAACATAAAGGAAAATTATCATTGAATATAGTTAAAAGTATATAAGAAAACGCCATCATCTCGAGGGAAAATAAACGTTAACCACGTGGATCACCAAACCAACTGTATTTTGATTCCATACTAGTGCAAAGCTCCTCAAGTTGCTGGTCAATGCAATTATCTATAAATGCCTGCCAATGATGAAGTGATCTTGTACAATAACCACTATTCTTTCAACTTTAAGCTAGCTCACCGACCAGTAACAGCACCAAAAAAAAAAAATTACTGCAATTGACGACAAATAAATCCATAGCACAGTCATACTTCTTCACATATTTATCCAAGATGCTTCCCGCAGCAGCCCCTGCAAGATAGAAGACAATGGATCATTTTTGTTACTTCGCAAGAGTTAGAGGAGATATGCATGTGACCAATTAGGATATATACAATTCACTTCAAATATACTGCAGTATGAAGGAAATAAGTAGATGCACTTGGTTTGTCGGTTCCTTGCGAACGAAACAGAAAGAAAAATGAAACAGAAGGGTGAGAGGCATACGGTTAGGGATGAAAAGCAGGTGGGAGAGAGCTAGAGAGATGGAGACAAGTCGGCGGCCCTCTCGCCATTGTGGGGGTGACAGTGAGCACCTCACGTGCAGAGCTTGCTTCGGTTTTGAGGTTGAATTCTGTAAGATTGAAGGAAAGGTTGAGGAATTGAAGAGTTTGCCGCTAAAATGCTCAGGCATGCCCACTATGGCCATCCCGATTCAACATCCATTCCCGGCCATGTCTCTCAGTAATAATCACAAATATTTGTCCAAATTGACGCATCTCAGCCGCTCGTTTGTTTTCGGGGAAGATTTGGTTTCATGATTACCAAAATACCCTTACCGATTGCTTTATGTTATTAACTAATCCCTCTTCAATGAGTTGTATATTTAAAAATATAAAATATTTTTAATATTTTAAAGTGTAATTATTATTATTTTAAAGTATCTTTAATAAATAAATAAATTTATATTTATTTTAAAATAAAATACTCTATTAAATAAGGATAAATATGAAAAGATGGTGTTAGTTTGAAAATAAATAACTATCTCATTTAAGGTGAGATTTGATTAAAAAAATTTTATATTTTTTAATGGACAGAGTAATGAGTAACAGCAATTTTTGGCTAAACAAAAAAACAAGTAACAACAATTTAAAACAATACAACATTTTTTTTTCCCAAATAACAATCCAATATTTAAGGTTTTTTTTATCAAGTAAGATTTTTAAAAGATGCTTTATATTATGATTTGAAAAAAATAAATGAATAACTAAAGAGTTGATGGTTGTGCCCAAACAAAAAAAATCCAATATAAGGAGGAAAATATGATAAAATTAAAAAAATAATAAAATAAATAATTGAAAGATTTCTGGTATTTATTTTATATAATCTCTTCTTTTTTATGTTCTTGTAACTTTTGGGGTTAGTCTTCAATATTGGAGTCTTATAAATAAAGGTGATATACACATGATTAAGAATCACTCCTCCTTTATTCTTCAATCTTTTATTTCGTTTTTTATTTCTTTCATCACAATATCTTGCTCCCTCCATTAAAAAATATAAAGCATTTTTAACCAAATTTCAACCCCAATAAAATAATTACTTACTTTAAAACTAACTCTATCTTTCTATATTTATTCTTATTAAACACCCCACAACAAATATAAAAATATTTATCATTAGGGACACTTTTTTAAAAAAAAACAATGATTACATCTCAAAACATTAAAAATGCTTTACATTTTTATTAGAGGAAGTATATTTTTATTATTTTTCATAACATAAATAATTTTTAATAAAAAGTTATTCATTAATCAAGTTTCTCTCTTTCTCTTTTTTCTTTTTTTAGGTTTTTGGATCTAGTTATATTAATTGGAATATTGCATTTTATCATTGTTTTGGTGGTAAATTTGTATTAGTCCGCAATCAAAATCAATGCAATTTTTACATTTGGCGTTACTCTAATTGAATTTGATCTAACTATTCAAAAGGAACTTTCTTGTTTTTCATCTTAAGTTACAAACTTGAAGAAAAGCTGTAAAGCGTATATGGTTCCCTTGGTCTAGTATAATAGCAATTTGGTTCCTCTATTTCAATCTGATCTTACTGCATGTGCAACAGAAATAATGGCCACTAGTACGCACTATCTTTCAATCATCTTTCTCTTTCTTTACATTGCTTTAACAGATGCTATCGATATTCTTGATATTCCTTCCTTATCTACACTCACTCTTAGACTATAAGCTTTTGCTTCTTCTAACAGTTTTTGTTGCAGATTTGGAGTCTATCTATCATTTAGTATTATTTGTTTCATCTTCATAGCACATATTTTAAGCATTTCTTTATTTGGATTTTTGTGTTTCTCTTGTGTCCAAATGTGCCTCTTTTTTCTTGTTTTGCATATTTTCTTTTGACATGAAGAAGATGTCAGAATTTGATGGAAAGGTGTTTAATGGTTGATCTTAATTACCCTCGTCCTTTGTTATATTAGGAAGACTACTCTTTCACATGACATTATTCTTTTCTTCTTCTCATTTGATTTTTCTTGGCCATAAATTGATGACTATGAATACTATCCATCATGCAAATATTGGATTCCCAATGCAATGGTGGAATAAAAGGTCAAAAAGACATTGAATATATTTCTTTGAATTCTTATGTGTTTTGGCTAGAAGCCTTGATTATTCTAAGAGAACCAACTATTGCTATCAGGTGACTTGTAGTTTATAAATAGAATATTCACAAGTTAAGTTAGATTTGTGTGTTTTCAAGACTCGATCCAACTTTATGAGCCTATCTTTCTTAAAAAAGGAAAGAAAATGAAGCATTCCAAATTTTTAAACTTCTAAGAGAATGGATAAGAATATTTGTCAATCATAACTATAATTTTAAGCAATAGATGATATGGATCTACTAACCTAAGCTTAGAAACTCATTAACTTTTCTTCCCCTTTTCCCCTCTAAGAGTTTGGGGATGGGTGACAAAAGAATTGGTCAAATTGGGGTGTTTTTTATGTCTTAGTTTTAGAAATGTCCACTTTCTTATGGTATCCCATCTAAGTATTGGACTTGTATTCTTGGTGTATCAGAAACAATGCATCAGAGTTTAAGGACTAGATTTTCTTTCTCTGTAATTCCTTCAATAGACAATAGAGGTCATAGAAGTTTTGATAGTATTTGATATGAACATTTGGGGAAATTATGCTCCAAAAGCTATCTCTAAAGAGTCTTAGATTCATATGAGCCCCGTACTACAATATACATAATGCTTCAATTTTTTCCTCTTAACAGACAATTCTCCATGCATGATTGCAATCTCTCAAATCAAAGTTATATTTTTCGTTAAATTATTTTCTTGTGTAAATGTTGTATGCCAAACACATGGTCATAAAAGTTGAATATATTTCTTACTCGTTGAATATTAGAAGCTGCACACTTAATAAAGTCCTCAAATTTGTTTAAAAACTTGGTAATGTTTGCTTGTATTTTCATATTATACAATTTATTTCTTAAAATATCTATTATGACAAGGAAATCTAACAGTAAAAGTTGTGAACAATCTTGCAGACAAGTTGGTAGCTATCATTAATGAAAGTTAAACTGCTTATAAGGTGTCAACTTTATATGACAACCTGAGGCTTGGTTGCATAGCTATGCAATACATCCAAGCATATGAGGGTGATTGTGATGCTGTGGGAGGACCTGATGCCAAGAAACCTTTAGAATATGCCTTCCCTGAAGCTTTTGCTCTAGACTATAGTGCCACATCATCAACACTTGTTATACCTTATTATTGGTTGGTTCCTAGGCTACTAGACTAACTATGTTCATCTTCCTAAGGCATTTTCTAAGATCCTTGTAAGAAACCAAAAGAGCTTAGATATACTTTCAAGTAAAGATCACATTTAGGTAGAAGCTGCCGTGACAGGTATTGATGAAGGCTCTCCTTACTTTTGGTGTGTGTTATTCAATAATGACAATCCTAACAACAACTTTGTTTTTGGAAATGGTGGGTCTAAAATAACACAATTTGGTTGCTTTAATTGAGCTAGTGATGAATGCACTGGTGCTCATGCTTGGTACCTATTCAATAGGATTTGGCTATTTGCTTCTACCCATTTGATTACTTTGGCATTTGTTGTTACTTTTTGACCCTATGTCCAAACAATTTATATGTATTTCCTACCAATTTAAGGCAAGTCCAACTTGTGATATTTAGCTTACTTAGCTTTAGCCTTTTCTTTTCTTGTATCATTTTATCATTTGCTTAGAGTTAGAGATTTATGCCAATTCTGTTGCATTATTACTTCTTCACTTTGATGGGCCAATAGTCATACAACTGCACCCTTCCAGATACTAAACTATTGACCTTACCAAGCCATCCATATTTCCATCAACAGCCTTTTAAGGCCTAAGTATAGACATCTTACTACAAGTGCATAACACAAATATTGAATCAATAATTTAAGAGAGTCATGAATGATTTGATCTCTCCATTTCAATCTAACTTTATCCTAAGGAGATAAATCCAAGACAACATTATCAGTAGGCAAGATATTACATATTATAAAGAGAGCAAACGGCAGGAAAGGGAAAGGATTCTTTACTATGAAAGTGGACTTAGAGAAAGCTTTCGACTGCATCAGATAAGATTACCTCTAACAATTTCTTTATAATCTTTAAATATATTCAATTAATCTTCACTTGCATTTCCATTATTTTGTATAATGTCCTTTAGAATGATATGCACTCTAATATATTTAATCTTATTAGGGAGCTCTGTTAAGGAAACCCTCTTTCACCTTTCCTTTTGTTTTATGCATGGACTGATTATCCCACTTAATTAGTGATACTGTAAATGATGGTAGGTGGAAACCCATCTTTGTTTCCTCTTTAGTCCTTACAGTGTTGCATATCATATTTGTTGATAATGTTCTCTTTTTCAATGAAGCTACTAATGCACAAGCTTCCACCATAATGAAGTGCTTACATAGCTTTTGTTGTGCCTCAAGGGAGAAAGTAAACTTTACTAAATCATCTTTCTTCTTTTCCAAGAATGTAACAGCTACAATCAAAGGGAAAATTAAGTCTGTCACTGGGATGCATATTGCTACTGATATAGACCATTGTTTGGGTTTCTTATTGCCACTTGACTAAAGTCCATGGAATGTTTCCATTATATCATGAAGAAAGTTAAGAGTAAGTTAGCAAGTTGGAAGATTAATTGTCTCTCTACTGTAGAAAGAATTACCTTGCTAAAATATGTGTTGGGCTTCACTCCCTTATGTCAAGTCTCTAAAGTTCCTATCAACATTTATAATGAAATCAAAAAAATAAAAAGGAATTTCATTTGGAAAGGCCCTCTTAGCCACGGTTTTCATCCTTTTAATTAGGATCGTGTCTTTCTTCCTAAGGAGTATGGTGGGCTTGGTTTTAAAAAATTAACTTTTATAAACATGACCTTTGGTGTTAAATTGGTTTGGAAGCTAATTTTTGGTTTTAAAGGATTATGGGTAGACGTCCTTTTGCACAATTATATGCTTCAAAATGATGATGATCTTTTAAAAGTTAAAAAAAGAGACTCTCAACTTTGGCACTTCATTTGTCAATAAAGTGAATTAATTAAAGATGGCAATAAATGGAAAAATTCACAATGGAAAAAAAAATTCCTTCTTTAATGATTTATGGCTTATCCCTAAGACAAAATTGAAGGATTTATGTTATCCCTAAAGGAGGAATAGAGTAAAGTTGTAGATTGGGTGGCTTATGGTTCATGGGGTGTTGTTAATTTAGAAAATGTCCTTCCTAATGATATCATCCTCAAATTGATCGTTGTCCTTCCGCCTCCTAAAGTGTAGGTAATGACATCATGACTTGGAATGCCTCCTCAAATGGCATTTTCACTCTCAAAAATGCATATTTCTTAATTAGGAAGATTCCTCTAAATTTATATTATCCTACTTTCAAACTTATTTGGAGGTAGAGAGGAGTAGAAAGAGTTCACCTTTTCTTATGGATGATCTTCCACAATAGACTCCTAACAAATTTATGTGCAGCTCTTAGGCTTATTCTTTTCCACTATGTAATTGGTGTAACTTGGATGAAGAAAATGTTCTCCACATCATAAGGGACTATAAGTATGCTCATTGTTTTATGGTTGCAAATGATTCATCCTAGTCATCATTCGAATTTTTTTCTCTTAAAGAATGGGTTCATGTCAATGTAACTTGCAACATGGGGCTCAACATTAACTTTGGTTAGGAGATTTCTTGGGGTGTTTCCATTTGGCATTTTTGGAAATGAAGGAATAATTTTATTTTTGATGCCAACTTTCATAAGCCACATTATCCTATGTCCTATCTTATGGCTGTTTGGAAATCCTTCTCTGCCAATTATATCCCTACCTTAAGTGTGACCAATCTCCTTTATGGCTCCATCCACCACATGGCTGGATTACAATCAATGTTGACAGTGTTATCTCCCAAGTTGATTCTAATAGTGGATGTAGTAGAGCTCTAAGAGATTGTTTGAGATAGGATTGCTGGATTTTCCTTTTATTTAGGTAAATGTTCTCCTCTTGAAGCAAAGGCTTGAGCTTGCCTTAAAGGACTTTACCTTGCTTAGGATATTGGCTACAAGAATGTCATTCTTGAATATGATTGCAAATTCTTAACTGATACTTTGGGATCGAAACTTGATGAACTCTCTCCCTATAGCTAAGTCATTCTTAAAGTCTCTAAGCTTCTAAAGAACAATTGGATAGTCAAGACTAGTTATATTTCTAGATCTAGAAATAAAGTGGCCAATAGACTTGGTAAAAAAGTGCTGGTTGTTTCTTCTTCCCTTTTTTTTTAGTCAACACTCCTTCTGTTGTGAAGGGCTTAGTACTTTATAAGTGTACAGGATTTCAATCTCTCTATTCTTAATTAATTAGTACACTGGGCTTGCCCTCCCTCCTACCAAAAACAAAAACAAAAACAAGAAGAAAAAAGAAGAAAGGGAAAATGATAATTAAAAGCCCTATAAGACTATCAATGACTATGTTCTTTAACTGGAATTAAAAACATACATGAGTTTATAAAATTGCCTTTGAGTCTCGAAAAATCAATAAAAAGCTCTATTAAAATTACTAATATGGATTAGGATCATTGCTAATTTTAATTGGGAATACCAGGGTCCACGCACTTAGAGATGAGTTGTTTCCCAATATAAAACTAAAATTTACTTGTGAAATTTTCAAAAAGCACTTATGAATATACGATAATCAATTGAAAATTTACCAAAGTCACTTTTGAATATGAAGACAATCGCTTGTTATTTTTTATGCTTGTCAATATATAAGTAAACCACTTGAAAAATCACAAAAAGACAGTATTAAAATTACTATCATATATTAGAACTATTAATCTCAGTCAAGAAAACTAGGATCACAAGTGTTATGGATTAGGAATACTGAAATTACTACTATGTATTGAGAATATTGTTAATTACATTCCCAAATTGTAGATCATGATTTTTTTTAACTAAGATTAACAATAGTTCTAACCCACAATAATAATAATTTTAGTAGTGCCTTTTTCTAATTTTTTCAAGTAAGACTCGATCAGCTGTTTTTAACATTACTCAAGGATAATTTTGTAAATCCATACATATTTTTAATTCCAAATAAGAATCCTTGTCTATTATTAAAATTTTAATAATTTAAAGTTCGTAATTGTAATTAATGGTCCTTTGGGGTTCTTGATTGTGATTTTCCCAAAAAGAAAAGGCAGAACAACAAAAAATCACGAAAGCTCGGTGAAAATATTTGACGTTTTAGTGCTGACAGCTGATATGATCAAAGAAAAAAATTACATTTACTATAAATACTTATATTATTATAAACGCTTGTTGTGATGCACACGATATTCTAACAAACAAAACTTGGCATGAAAAATATAGTCGACATAAAAAATATATTTATTTCTCATATTGACTTACAGTTACATGGAGTGCAATCTGCATTGCTGATAAATTTTCTTCTGCACGAGTATGATTTAATTATAACTACTCAGTCCTTCCTTTCCTCTTCCACTTTGTTAGATTCGAATGATGTTTGGATCTCTTTTTTAAACAGTAAACAGTTTAAAAAACGTGATAGGAATAATGGCCACAAACATGGCATATTTTCAATTCAGCTTTATGTAACTATCTTTCATTGATATTATTCTATCCTTATTCATCTTTCTTTCTTTGATCTACTAGTTTACTGAAGGATAGCGATAAGCTGGTGCAGGCGCATGTCTTTGCTCCTCCAGTTCACCAGCTAAATTCGTACATTTGAATGATCGCAAACGATCCGAAGTTTAACTTTGTGCAGTGCAGCAAGTCAAGAACATACTTCGACCAAGTCTCTCTCTCTCTCCCCCTCTTTTTTTTTTTTTTGGCGCGTACTACGATGCATTAATTCTTCTTCTTCTTTTTGACACGCAATCTTTTCCTGAATTATCGTTTGCATTTATGACCGTAGCTGTTATGCTTTCTCATGCCACTTGAAATTTCTTTATTTTTCTCGAACATGAAGAATATAGGGGGAAAATTACATGGAGGTAGCAAGTCAGTATCTGTTCCTAACTCTACAATGTTTTGATACACGCACGCACGCACGCACGCACGCCTAGAGGTTTTAATCTACTTCTAATCTTCTGGTCCCTACCATATCGGTCACACGAATTGAAATTTCACATAACTTCAATGAAAACTTCAATTATGGATGAAGAAGGGATTTTTTTTTTTTTTAACTCTACAAATCGAGACGATTTCTCATTTACTCTGTCATCCAGAAGCACAAAGGAAGAGTTCTTGAATAGTATTTGATATCTTGAAATACAGTTTGCGTTTCCCCGCTCTTCACTGAGATGATTTACACTTCAAAACCAGCAAAAGAAGTATAAGAATAATGGCAATACCTCCAGAAGAACCACCAACTCGATGAATCCAGTGACGATCGAACCTGGTGAAGCTCCGATCCAAGCAAGCTGAAAAACCCACCGCCAAAATCAATAGAAAAAGCAGGAGAGGAGATAAAAGCGCAAAGTTGATGGATTCCTCGTCATCTTCCAACTCACTCGCTGGTTTGCGATCTATGTAGAGAGGAGAAGCCACAGCTAGCACCGCCAAGCCTATGAGTGCCAGCCTCTCATATGAAGAAAACCTTCTCCTGCGACTGCCTCCAACCTCCATCCAGAACACAGACGAAGAACCTCGCCTTTTTAGGTTCACTATGTTCTGCTTACAACTTTTATCGTGAAACTATTGTGTAAAAGCCACCCTTGTGCGCGAACGGAATCCTTCATCTTGCTTTTCAAACCAAGCCTTTAGAATCATCAAGCATTTCTACACCCTACGTAATCAGATCTCAATGAATAATCTTTCAGGAAAAGTAATAATGCTAATGCAGGGCAAGAGGCTTTCCTTTCATTTACATGTAGGAATTGTCAATCGTGCTTCTCGTAAGCTTCTGTGACATACAAAATTGTCAAACTCGGAATACTGTGGAGAAATGCTGCAGTGTTGGGCATGGTATGTCTGCTTTAAGTTTCTAGCATATGCCTAACATCATATATATATATATATATATATATTATAATGTGAAGAGGTAAAGCACGCGAGAGTTATAAATTAAGGTGCATTTTTTGGCTGAGAATTCCTGTCCCTATCTGATGGAATCTTTTTCTGACGTAAAAAATAGTAGGTTCTAACCACGAAAACTACAGGTGACAGCTTATTGATGAAGATGGCGTTGTTAGATTGTGTGGATGTGAATAAGATTCCCCATTAGCAAAGGCAAACATTCTGTGCTGTTGATTTTTTTTTTTTTTTGGGCTGGAATCCGATACCCTTTTTGCCGTGGGAGTTCGCTCAAGCCCTATCACCTAATTTGAAATTTACTGATGATCAAACGTGGTTTGAATGTTAAGAGGTGTTAAAATAGTCTGGCTATTCAAGGTCCAAATAATTAAAGCTTAACTAATGAGTTTTTCATGCAGAAATCTAATCTTGCTAAAGGTAATAGAACTTTAACACTCAACAAATCCGCGACCTGATGAATGAGTATCTAAGGTTGGGTTACTTCTGCGGTTATTCAAACACAAACAAACTAGCCAATTTGTAGGTGTAGGGTAAATCAAATAAAATATTCGAAGATAAATACAAACAATTCACAGGCAACCATATTCCCATGAAATCTCTTCATTTTGATGTTTTTCGTCAGTATGCATCTACAACCTATCATACGCATAAACAACTTCACTCGTTTGTCATGCAGGCTGAAGGACAACAGTTTGAACAAAAGAAAGAAAGATTGAATAATATTAACATAAATGAAATAATCAACAAAAGATCTTGATTGTATGGGCCAAAAGTAAATTATGTAGTACGGTCACTGGGATCCAGGGAGCGATGGCCGGGCGTAACCTCTTGATACCTCACAACCAAAGGCTCAAAAATTGCGCTGCCTGGCTGAAAGCATCACCAGTGGAAAGGAACAATAGAAACAAAACAGCCTAAAGCACCTAGGACTATGAGCCATTATGTTCTAATTGCTGCCACCGGAGGTCCTTGACCTGGTCCCTTGAAGCCTTCTTATCCATTTCTTCTGTGCAGTGGTGAGATCAGTTAATTGTGATGGAGGTACAGAACTATGTTGGGATTGTCCATGAACTGGAAGCTCAGCAGGAAGTGCAGCAGCAGTACTAGTGAATGCATTTAGAACCAAGAATGCCAGGATGGGTGAGAGATCCAGTGTTCCTCCAAGGGGGGGAATCAGTCCTCGGAATATGTTCAGATACGGGTCACATATTGTGCTGAATAAATCCATAGCCAATCATCACAATATATATATATAAACACTATTCACAAATCATAAACAGGTTCTTCATACGAAAAATATAGGCTAAAATCTAGTTTTATCAAATTCAGAGAATTACTCAAACCAAATCAAATTAAACATGTTTCATCTATAACTCATAGTCATGGCCACTTCAAGCAACAGAAAAAGGTTTAATATTGCTGAACGGTCTGTACACAACCATATAACCGAGCTCGATCACACAGATGCCTTCCACTCTACAAAGCACAGACACCATGACTCTCCTGGATAGCCCCTCGGGGTCACAAGCTAGACCAGTTTATTACCATCAGATCCATATACCCAGAGGAGGTCAATAAGCAAGCTTATCCGGCAATAAAGTTATCATACATAAAGGCCATTATCATAAATTAACGAGCGACAGTCTTCTACACCAGTGAGAATGCAATGGAATGTCAACGTCCAATTCGGTGTTTTAAAGTAAATATTGATAGAAAGAACGCTAACCTGAGAGGACTAACAATGGCAGGGGGAGAATTTGGAAACCAGGTCAGAACAAGCCTGACAATCAGCAATGTGTTGTAAATATTCAAAAAATTCAAGATTCCATTAGCGACCACTAGCCCTGCCACTGAATCTCCAGGTAAAACAGCAGCGAAATTGTGACCAGACAGCGAGTTCACGTTCTTGTAGCTGATGCAGCGAATCTGAAAAGAAGATCAAAAGGGTGCAACCCAGTTAAAATGAAAGAAACCAGATCGTAAGAAAGAAGATTACTCAAAGCAACCATACATTAAGAAATTTACCGCGTAAGAAAATTACATCACCTGTACGCATAAACTCTGAAATTCAGAGGACAGAGAGAGGACTTTCTTCACAATTGGGTTTTCACAAGCGAGCAAGTGAAGCAATCTGAGAAACTTACCAAACGCCGAATTCATGGACCTGCTAAGTTCCCGAAGGTTGAGATTCCGAGAAACTAAAGTGTTGAACTTGGAGGTGGGTACTCTCAAAGACGGGAGGGCTAATGGTGTTTGAGCAGGAGCCCAAGAGAGTTTCAAACAATCAGGCACCGTCTTAGCCTCTAAGCATATGTTTTTGTCAGTAGACGTTTCATTTACAGCCATTGTTCTTCGATTGAGAATGCTCGGGGGTGCCACAAATCAACAGTGGAATGGTGGCAGAAGAAGATAACGCTTGAAAGGGGAAGAGAAAATCAAAATATCTGCTATGCATTTAGCATTTACGATCAAATCCATTTCAACGACAACGTTTTGGCATGTAAGTAGTTGGCCGGCGCCTAGTCGCCCAGCATCAGCCCCAGTTGAGCGCAGCCCCTCCTGCTGTTTTGGACTTTTAGCCTCCAAGGACACCTATGGATATGCGTACGTCCACGTGTAATGGACCCTAATACATATGAATAAACGGGACGCGTGTCGCATTTTGATTGCATGGATTTGATCAATCAACGTCTCTTCTCTGCCTCATTTTACCGGTAATCTCAAGTTCAAGAAATCATCGGCTTCGACTAGTTCGCTCTCACGATCTCCTCCATCTCTTCGTTTCCCCTCTCCTCTGCCGCCGATCATGGCGACTCATCTGCTGAGACATTCTCTCTCTCCTCAACCTGAGATCTTCTTCAGTTATAGAAGAAACAGCGATGTCCTCGGCGTTGACTTCATTTCTCGACTGCCGAGGGCGCGACATCGCAACTTCACACGTCGGAGCATTCTGCGGTCACATACGGATCCAAACTTTGCCGTATGCAGCTCACTTGAAACTAGAATTGACTCGGCCGCAACCACCCTGCAAGCGCAGGAGAATAGTAAAGATTCGCCCATTTTACTAGATGTTACTGGAATGATGTGTGGAGCTTGCGTCTCCCGAGTTAAAAACATTCTGTCTGCCGACGAGCGAGTTGACTCGGTCGTCGTCAACATGTTGACCGAGACCGCCGCCGTTAAGTTGAAAAAACTCGACGTTGCCCCAGCTTCAGTTCTGGAGACCGATTATCCGGGAATTGTAGCCGAGGCCCTTGCTGGGAGACTGACTGAATGTGGTTTTCCCACCAAACTGAGGGTTTCGGGTACGGGAATGGCGGAAAATGTGAGGAAGTGGAAGGATTTGGCGAAGAAGAAGGAGGAACTGCTTGCGAAGAGTCGGAACCGTGTTGCCTTTGCTTGGACTTTGGTGGCGTTGTGCTGTGGATCGCATGCTTCGCATATTTTACATTCTTTAGGAATCCACATTGCTCATGGTAATAATTAACTATTCAGAAAATAATTTAATCACACTTCCAGTCGATTTGGAGGATCATTTTGGTAGTAAATTGATATTGTTAACTGAAAATGAAAATCTACTGCTCCTCCAAATACTTCAATCAGCCAATTCCTAATCTACCCATAAAATAAATTCCATCTCTCCTCCTCCAACAGTCATATTTCATTTTCGGCACACACTCTTCTAAGGGAGACCTTCCGTTCCCAGCAACGATATTCCATAGCATCTTCCACAGATATTATTACAATGTCCTTGATTTTCTCTTTAACGTTGGATCCTATGCCATTGTATTTTGCTATGCATGTCTTGTTTACAAGTTCTGTTATTCCCTGATGTTCTTTTTGGTATCAGAACTTTACGGATGGTCTATTGTAGGACCTGTATGGGCAGCTCTTCATAATTCATATGCGAAAGGTGTATAGCTTCGGCAGCTCTGTTGGGACCAGGTCGAGGTTAGCTCGTGTAACTTTTCTGTTGCTAGTGTGTGACACCTTCTGAATAACCGTGCGTTGTATTATTAATTTGAGCAATTGCTACAAATTATCTGATAAAGCATATTTTCTGACGGCAGAGGCGGCATCTGGGTTCTTTACTAATTAACAACACTTATGTAGAATATTTTTTTTCACTGTGTAATCCTGTTAGTTCTTGGGGCTTGTGAACTCCCAAATAATTCCAAGTGAATCTCGAGATGGAAATTTTGTGACTGAGCCAGCCCTTGTTTCAGAATTACTGGTCGATGGCCTAAAGGCATTTAAAAAGGGATCACCAAATATGAACTCTCTTGTGGGATTCGGTTCTATTGCTGCCTTCATCATCAGTTCGGTGAGCCCCTTCTTAATATTTCAAATGTTTCATTAGGTTACAGAATGGCATTATTTCCTTTTTCGTCGAAAGTGATGTTAATTTGAATTTCATCTTTTCTGTAGATCTCACTACTTAATCCTGGGCTGGCTTGGGATGCATCATTCTTTGATGAGCCGGTGATTTTCTTTACTTTTTATCCTAGAAGCCAAGCTTGAATTAGCTACGCATCATGGTTTGAGTTTAGTTTTCGTTGATGTAGTAACTTCTCACTTGCGCATTGCCATTTCTGGTGTTTTAACTTTTTCTTTATTTATTCTGTAAGCTCCTCATGGAGGATTTTGTTTTTTAGCATGCAGGTCATGCTTCTTGGTTTTGTGCTTCTAGGGCGTTCTTTGGAAGAAAGGGCGAGAATTCAGGCATCTAGTGATATGAATGAACTTCTTGTAAGCAGTCTTCTGTCCTCTCTATGTGCTTATTTTATTTGGAAGAAGGCATCTTCAGGTTCTATGTCAAGCATAAGACTTCTCAATTGCTTACATATGCCATTTTCATTATCTTTCATTGAAGTCACAAGACACTGCTTACACTGTTTATTCTGAATTGCTTATTTTATTAGGGAAGTTTTCTCTTTGTATGTTATCATTTGACTGTTGTTGAACCAATGTGGGAGCGCTAATAAAACTTCTTCCATAATCAAGTTTATTTATTTATCGGAAGGTCATGAGAGGTCTCTTTGCCTAAATGTCATACCTGATTTTAAATAAAAACCTTTGCTTCATTATGTTTTCATTATAAATAGCTAGACTTCGTGGTGGACTGTCATTCATTAATGTCACTTTGCTGAAAGAATCACTCCACATTTCATATTACTTCTTTTTTTTTTTTTATAATACTCAATTTTTCATGTCATAGTCAAGTGTCCTACCTCAGAACTAATTTGTTTAATTTTAAAGGGTGCATGGCTGTGCATATAAACTTATGACGAAGCTCTGAAGGGGTCAGTATTGGTTTTCAATCGTATAATAAACAGATAAAACATCTAGCTTTATTTTATTTTTAATTTTCTTTTGATTCTTGTCAGTTTTCCTTCTTAAACATGGACAATCCAAGAATTGGAAATTTAGTTGGATAAAAAAGTGGTCTATTTGAGCTCTAAGCATTATATTGTAGTTTTTTTCTATTGAAATACATGTAACAAAGAAATAATAATAATAATTGGCTTCAAGTGGTTCAAGCTTGAACATCATGGGAAGATTTATTTTTTACTTTGGTATTTAACTATACACTCTAACATTACGTAATTATGGTGGATGTTTTGCTAGTCATTGATTTCGACTCAATCAAGACTTGTGATTACTTCCTCAGAAGGGGCTCCATCTCCGGCTAGTGTGCTTTGCTCTGATGCGATCTGTGTTGAAGTCCCAACTGACAATGTTCGAGTAGGTGATTCAGTGTTGGTGTTACCTGGAGAAACTATTCCCATAGATGTAAGTCTTCTTATTGTTAATGATATTTTGTTAGAACTCTAAAGCTCCATGTGCTCCCACCTAGTGGGATAAGGCTTGTTGTTGTTGTTTTAAGCTATATGTGCAGTACCTGAGTCAAGGCATTGGGATTGCATATTTTGACAGAGCAGACACAGTACACAGCATGACATTTGAACATTATTGACAATAATTGGTCTGTAATGATAGCAGTGTTTAAGAAAGCTGCATTTATATGCATGATGCTGGAAGACCTTACTTTGTAATTTATGATGGAATTTCTTTGAAACTTGTTGACTCATTTGGTACCAACTCGCTGATATTAGTTGTCTCTGGACAGGGAAGGGTTATTTCTGGAAGAAGTGTTGTGGATGAGTCAATGCTAACAGGAGAGTCACTTCCTGTGTATAAAGAAGAAGGCTTCACAGTTTCTGCGGGAACTATAAACTGGGTATGCCTTTAGACTTCAAATTGGTACAAGATTTTATCCTCTGTCTAACTAAATTCACATTATGCAGCTCTTGCATCATGTTGATTTTTTTTTTTCCCATTTTCGAATTTGATTGGGCGGGCATGTTTTAATATTACTATTTCAGGATGGTCCTTTAAGGATTGAAGCTTCTTCAACTGGCTCCAACACAATGATATCCAAAATTGTCCGCATGGTTAGTACATCAATTTATAATTACTTATTGACAAAAGAAACTTTACATGGAATGAATTGATTAAAATTTTCAATTTTGGTGATAATGTAGTTTCTTTCATCCATAATTGTTGTAAGGCACTCTTATTTAATTCATCAATTTCAGCATCTTACATTTTGTGAAATAAAATTATTTTTTTTGAAATTTTCTCAGGTTGAGGATGCTCAATCGCGTGAAGCACCCATACAAAGGCTTGCAGATTCAATAGCTGGCCCATTTGTATACAGTGTTATGACTCTGTCAGCAGCAACGTTTGCATTTTGGTAAAGATATGTTTTTACAAGCCCCATCAATTTTTATATTTGATAGGGTTATGTATTTGGTTTCAAATGGTGGAGATGGGTCTGACATATGATGACTCTTATTATTACATGTGTTAATGTAATACAACTAAAGATTTGTGATTGTGATTTTTTTTTCCCAAAGGAGAGTTTCTGCATCTGTTTGAAATTCCTTAATCTTATCCAAGTTTGCTGCATTTGTTTCCAGGTTTGTAATTGGATCACATATTTTTCCAGATGTTTTACTTAATGATATTGCGGGTCCAGAAGGAGATCCTTTGCTTTTGAGCTTGAAACTTTCTGTAGATGTCTTGGTGCGTATTGTTGAATTCAGGGTTAACCAATTTGGCCTTGTTACTCGATAATTTATGATTTGATTTAAAGCTATGTCCCTGTCCTCATTGACTTATCTTTCCTGTAGTCCTAAATGGTGTACACTCCTTTTCTCCTGGCTTTCAGCTTCTGTTAGTGAATATGACATGATGGACTATACATAAAATTTTGTTCAAAATAAAATAGAGGGATATATCTTGCATGCCTTTCCATACAAGTGTTGCTAGTCACCAATAAAAAGCATTCAGATAGGGTGCCATTGGCTGCTTTTTGTAATGTCATTTGTTGGAAACTGATTGTATAATTAAATTGCATGTGTGTAGACAAATCTTGAAAAGTGAGGAAGAGGAAAGTAGGGATAGAGTGGTGCGTGCATGCAACTGGGTCCAGATTACCTTTTTCCTGGAACATTTAAGTTTCATGCAGAAAAACAATGATTGTCATCTTTTTATATGCTTCTGAGTTGAAAATTGAAAAGTTTCTTGTGGTCCTTTCCAGGTTGTGTCTTGCCCTTGTGCACTGGGCCTTGCCACACCCACAGCAATCCTAGTCGGCACCTCACTTGGTATGTTACCTTTGTTTTGTACATTAACACGCATATAGACACAAGCTTAGCTGAATTTACTGCAACCCTTGAATATTTATTTTGATGTAGGCCTGCTTATTGTTCAAATACGGAGTCCTTTTTGTTGGCACTATGGTTATTCAACTTATTTAGAATTTTTTCCCCCCTTAAAGCAAGTTGCTATAAGCCTACAACATTGTTTTGATCAGGGGACCTTTCTTGAGCAGTGCCTTCATTAGTTATTGCTGATGGGGCAGAGATCTGTCAATCAATTATATTTTTAAATAGGAGGATGTAAAAAAATGCTCTTATTCAGTTTCTGTTTTCCTTTTCTTTCTTTTTATATTTTGTTTCTTCATTTCTCTCCATCTTCATGGTTTTTACTACCTGACACTTGTGAACTGTGGTTCCTTGAATTTATCTTAACTGGCCAACATATGGTATAAGCTATTGCCATTTGACTATGAACAATGAAGTGGCTTTGTCTTGATCAGGGGTGAATTGTCTTCTCTCCTTATGAACTAAAATTTATGAAATTTTCAAAGCCACTTCTGTCCGGAAACCAAGTTTAGTGCTTGCAGTATGTCCTAGTCTTCATATTTTATCTCTGCAATTTCCCCCTGTTTATCGGGATATGTGTTGCAAATGAACAGGTGCAAGAAAAGGACTTCTCATTAGAGGTGGAGATGTGTTGGAACGCTTAGCTAGCATAAACTTCATTGCTCTAGACAAGGTAAATCCCTCGGACTCTTCTATCTGTGTCTCTTCCCCTCACAAAAATGCATTAGAAGGCATAAGCTAATGGTTTTGCATGTATGTGTGCATGAAAGGTTGTTATGAAGATAACATCACATTAAACTTTCAGACAGGAACCATCACCAGAGGAAAACCAGTTGTCTCTGCTGTGGGCTCTTGTAATTATAAGGAATCAGAAATTCTTCAGCTCGCTGCTGCAGTGGAGAAAACAGCATCTCATCCAATAGCAAAGGCTATTACCAATAAAGCTGAATCATTAGAATTGGTCCTTCCAGTCACAAAAGGGCAGTTAGTTCAGCCGGGTTTTGGAACCTTGGCAGAAATAGATGGACGGTTGGTGGCAGTCGGTTCCTTAGAATGGGTACATGAGCGATTCCAGACAAGAATGAATTTATCTGATTTGATGAATCTGGAGGATATTTTGATGAATAAATTATCAAACAATATACCTTCGAACTATTCAAAAACCGTTGTCCACGTTGGACGTGAAGGAGAAGGCATCATTGGTGCTATTGCCATATCTGACATTTTGCGTGATGATGCTAAATCTACAGTAATGAGGTATGTATTTTTTTGGGTGAATGCAATGAGGTATATTTTAGTTTTGTTACCGCAATCTATTTATTTCCTCAGGGTGCTAACTATTGTTTTTAGACCCAGAGTGGGGGGAGTGGGAGAGCTCTATTCTTCCTCTTTCTGTATTTGAAGTCAGTTATTTCTTTTTTTTTCTTTTTTTACCAGCTGTATTTGAAGTTAGTTTGCTTCTCACCTTTTCTTTTCTCTTGAAAGGGTGCTTAGGCGTCAAAAACTATGTTAACTTGAAAGTGTAATCTGTTAATTGAAGGTCCGCAAATAATTTTATTTTATCACGCTATGCTGAAACCCAACTTTTAATTAAGAAAACAACTAGTGGCACCTTTTTTAAGAAAACAACTCTTAATCCCTGATTGGGAGACTCTAACACCATGCCAAGGATTATAATTCTACTCAAAAGCTTAAGTTACCATATGAAGGTACGTGAAAAATTCTATTATAATCTCTAACAAAAACTAAAAGTGATGGAATTTAAATTATGTTTTGTTAGTTTCTGATATCGATTACTCTTTTTTATATATGCCTGTAATTTCCTGCAAGTGAGGCGCAGAGAGTTTTAGGAAGCATTGACTTCATACTTACTGTCAGACTCATCTATACTAGAGTTATGTTGGGCTGGGGTTTCTTGCTTCTCTTCCATATCAAAGGATCTTATTTCTTAAAATGGTTGTTTCCATCTCCTTTCCATCAGGTCTACTTGCTAAAATTGACGTCTAGATGTTTGTATTCCAAGCTTAACCCATTTCCTGTATCCGATAGTCTTTTCCAAATTCAAGGCATGTACTTATTTTAATTGCTTGATTACTGCATTATTTACTGACATTGTTTCTTTTGGAAAGACTCCAGCAGAAGGGTATTAAAACAGTCCTCTTGTCAGGGGACAGGGAAGAGGCAGTTGCAACAGTTGCAGAAACAGTTGGGATAGAAAGTAGTTTAGTCAAAGCATCGCTGTCTCCACAGCAGAAATCTACATTTATTTCGTCTCTCAAAGCTGCTGGACATTGTGTTGCAATGGTGCGATGTTATCTATCTTCACCTTAATTGTCTCTTGGCTTTCAATAAGATGAGATATCTGCTATGTTCAAAGGTCCACTGAGCTTCCGGAATGGGATCAAAGATGTTTTTTTTTTTTTTTTTGGGTCTAGTGAAGCATGTATTGCCAATAACTCCAATGTAAAAATTGTTGTTGCTGCATGTAGAAATGAATTTCATTTTCTATTTCTCTTTGCAATTTTTATTAGATATCTATGCTTGCTTTGCATCTGTTAAAATTGTCATTTGCCAATAGTAGCAGTACTGCAGTTGATTCATGCAAATTGTGGACGTCTAGCCTTTTCTTATGTTATATTTGCAAGTTTCTTATTAGCGTCATACTGTTAAATTTCTGTCAAGTTATACTTATGAGAAATGACAGTCCTACTGACATCGTCGTTTTTCTCTAACTTCTTTAAGGTAGGTGATGGGATAAATGATGCGCCCTCTTTGGCCGTAGCTGATGTTGGAATTGCTCTGCAGAATGAAGCTCAAGAAAATGCTGCGTCAGATGCAGCATCAATTATATTAATTGGGAACAGAATTTCACAAGTAAGTCATCTCTGATGTCCTGAATTTATTACATCCATTTTTATGCATCCCATGTTTTTCATGTGCCTCGCCAATGAAGTAATAGCTTTATAAAACAATTTACGTGGGAGATGCCATTCCATCAGTGTTGCTTTTTCGGGGGAAATTGTTTGGTGATATGAGTAAAGTAATCTCCTTGAACAATTATTGAGGTCTCTGATATAAACAATGCGGTTTGCTGTCTTCGCTATGAATGAAATTTTGGGGTCTCATTCTCTCTCTTCTGAAAATATCATGGTGCCGTAAGTAAAGTGATCTTTCTCTGAAATGATATTGGGGGAAGAGGTTCCTAGGACTATATTTTTCTTCACATCCTTTTGACTTCATGAAGATGTGCACCCTATGATACCATTGTACATGGCCGTTGCAAGATATGAAAATTTGCGCTCTATGATACCGTTATCAGATGAGTACATGGCCGTTGCAAGATATATCCACCGTGGAATGGTTGGTCTTTTCTGCAATCTTGGATGCTCCAGATTGAGAAAATTCTAAATTTTGCGGGGTTTTTTTGGTGGCGAGTAATTTATTAATACCAGTCGTGATTTTAGGCATAAACTCTGTGATGGTACTGGAATTCCAAAAGTTGAAATTGACCTCTTTATCAATGAACACGAGGGTGTGGGGGATTCTTTGGTGGTATGCATTTTCCTTATCCTATGAAAGCGTTGTAATGATTCTCCAACTCGTAAATTCAGCCGTCTCCATTCTGGTAGGTTGTAGATGCCCTAGACCTGGCACAGGCAACCATGGCGAAAGTGTACCAGAATTTGTCTTGGGCAGTCGCTTATAATGTTGTCGCCATGCCCATTGCCGCTGGTGTGTTACTTCCCCGATTTGATTTTGCTATGACGCCTTCACTTTCAGGTGAGAAAGATTCCATTATTGATTTCTTCGTGTGCAAAATGAATCTTCTACAATTGTACGATAAGTTATCCTGGACTTCAGAGTAACCCAACTAACTCTCGTAATGGCCAAACAAACACGGCTGCTTATATTTCTCTTGTACTTCCCTCGATATACAGATTCGTTGCACATACCATTCCGTGCACTTGAATGTGCGTCGAGTGTTCCAAAGATAAGGTTCTGTTTATCACACATATTTTTTGTATGACAGGGGGATTGATGGCTTTGAGCTCCATTTTCGTGGTTGGCAACTCATTGCTTCTACAGCTTCATGAGTTCAAAAACAAGCAACAAGGGCCAGCTCCAATCACCTTTTGAAGAGATGTCTCCATTCGAATATGTATACGTATATGAAGTGTGATATGCATCAGAGGCCACTAAGTTCAGCATTCTATCGAGTAATCTGAAATGCGACCATCAAAGCTCCTCCTCTTCCTGCATGTGGGTATGGCTGCTAACGTGTAGATTGTACCCGCTTTCATCTAATTGCCTTTTCTTGTATAGAAACGGGTTAAAAAATAAAACTAACTTATTCTTTGGAGAAATTGCTACAGCATATTGTAGCGTCCCTGTCTCACAGGAGACACGCTAGAAGCAGCGTGTCTTTTCTATACTGTTTCTTTTTTTTTTTTTTTTTTGTGGCCAACTTTTCTATACTGTTTCACCATTTGGCCTTGCTTATCACGCTGTCTATGGAATAGTTACTGTTAAAAATTGAATAATGACGATAAAAAAGGGCACAACATCCGTTGATCTTAAATGTGAGAATATATTATTATTTATTCATGCTCGACCAAGAAACAAACTACGTAATTTGCTTATCACGTTATTTTTGGAATGACGGCAAAGCGCCTATTGTTGTAAGATAAATTAACCACGGTTAAATAATCTAATGCTCCTGTTAATCAATGTAGTAAAAATATTGTATAAAAAAAATGTAGTAAAAAGAATAAATGAGATATCAGGAAACAAAATGAATCATGAGATATGGCTGAGAATGAATGCCCTGTACCGCCATCCGGAAAGCGCCGGATCATTCAGAAAACCAATTTCAGGATTCACCATCGTGCAAATCAGAGCAACCGCGTAGAAGAAAGTACAGTTGGAAATATTCTCATATGTCATATGTGCGCATGTGTTTGTGTATACGTGCAACTTCAAACATCCATACTTGTAAGAATAACAGGGTGAATATAGATAATGTTTGTTTATTAGAATAAAATAAAATGAAATGAATTGAAAAAATAAAAATAAAATGATAAAAGGGAATGTGTGAACACATTCATAAAAGAGAAAGATAATTCAGTATATGTAATTGGAAATAATGATTCATGAAATTTTTAAAGGGTATAATGATTTTTACATTTATAGTATATATTAAGAAATTTTATATTATATTTATTATGAGAAGGAAGATGATTTAATTTATTTTTATCTTAATTTTTTTAATTTAATTTAATTTAGTTTATTCTAGCAAGCAAACGTTACAGTAGGAAAGTGAAATACTGCAAATTATGAACATGAGATAGTGTGGTGGGGTACATGTTACCCTTTTATCTGAGGTAAGAGACGCTCTTCTTTATGAGAGAAGGGATGGATATGCAGAGCGTTTGTTTGTATTTGATCCATTTAAAAATAATAATAACAACAAGAAGATGTAAACTTTAGATATGATGAAACTTTTAAGTTATTGATTTAGTTTTATAAACTTGACTTTAATTTTATCAGTCTAATTCTTTTAAGTTTCTTAAAAGTAAATAAACAGTCTTTATTATTTGAAAATTGGGTAACAATGTTAAAATGTGTTGGCATGGAAAACGGAATATTGCTTTAGCAACAATATAGATTAATGAAAAAAAAATTAATTATTTTGGTTGGAAAAAGTTAAGATGTACGTGTCAAGTCATCATGAGAGAAAACATACATTGACTTGTGAGGGGGGAAAAATCAAAGGGTCCTTCAATTATATTTTCCCTATATATGTAACTGAATCATTCTCATTTAACTAACCTTGTATGCATATCAAAATATCAATGTATCAATATATTTTATACATTAATTAATTTAATAATCAATATGTATTTCAAGATCTAGAGAATAGCATGATAATTTAAGGAAATGTAAGAATTAGGTTGCTAAAAAAGCAAGTTCAGAGATTAATTTGACAATTAAGACGAACTTAAATATCATAAATTTTATTATCCTTAATTGTCCCATGATATAAGTTTCTGTCATTTTTGAAATATATGATTAGTAAATTATAAAAAATATTATTTTATTATTTTGCTAATTATTCTCTTGTTAGAATTTTTGTCAGGTGAAGAAAGAAAGCCACCAATCATAATATGCATAATTTGAGTTTTGGTAATATAATTAGGTCAGTGACAGAGTTTTTGCATGAAAAGAATCCTATCTCAACTCAATTCAAATTAGCATAATACCCTGTCCAATCTTCTCAACTTAATGTGAGGCAAGCTGCAGATGCCAATACTCCGCAAACAAAGGGAGAAAGTAAGTGCAAGATATATGTCTATCTAGAAATAGCAAAGCCACATTGGTTTGAGAGGGTGCAAATATACCCTCACTTTGGGGAAAATTATGAGTGGACTATATAAAATTTACAATATTACACTTTCTATTTTTGATATTTTGCATTCTTTGAATTAAATAAAAAATATTTAAATTTAAAAACTTGTTAGATATATAATACTGTAATGATTTAGATATGACATGAAAAACATATATATAATTTAACACCATATTAATCTATTTAATATAATTTTTTTAAAATGATAAATAATAATTAAATTATTTATGTTATTATAATTTTAGTCTTAATATAATTATTATTTTTTAAAAAATATTAATTTTTTATTAAATTATTTCACACCTCCTAGCTTGGAATCCTGACTCTACCGCTGCACGCCAACCGTGATTGCCTGAGAAATTGTTAATAATGTTAGCACAAGACATAGAAATTGTTTATGCAGTATTCATCAGTTGTAAGACTGTGGAGTGGAGAGGTTGTTTAACAAATAATATGGGAGGCAGTTGCTTAAGAGGAATGATGCTAGAGATGATGATTGGAGTGGAAAGTAGGATATTATTGTTTTGGGGTTCAGGATCCGTTGATCGGAAACCTGGAGGATGCGATTGGGGACGAAGAGTGGGGCCCAGGGGGAGCTTTAATAATGACAATAAATGGGCACGTGACAGGGACCAGGTATTGTTGAAGGAGCCTTTGATGCCAAAACGCTTTGCATGTGAATGTTGGGCCCCCCTTCCCCCTATTATTTCCCAATTAAAATCCTGCCAAATCCCTACTCTATCCTGCGTCACCCTGTTCCATTTATTTAACGTTTCAATTTATCAAAAATAAAAAATAAAAAAAATCGATTGCATGTCAAAAGCCGCATCACGGTATTTTGAAGATATTTTTTTAACATATTTATTCATGCACATGTTTTTTATGTATTTATTTAATATAACTACATATTTCATAACTGAGATGTTAATTTAATTTCTTCTCCTAGATGAACCAGATACTTTTTGATGAAATCTTTTTTTTAACATGTATTTAAATGGACTATAAATGGGATCAGATAGAATATTTTATATTTATTTTTTACAATTTTTATACAAATAAAATTCTTATTTCATTTTCAGGTAAAAAAATATTCACATTTCATTTCATGCTGTAGTTGATACTCTAACCAACATCTGAAAAAAAAAAAGGAGTGATTAATTCATTGGGTTGATTACAGGCTTTCTTAAAAAAAAAAAAATTAGACCTTGGTCATATATCCTCGTCTAACCCAAATTTTGCCCATTCTGGTGCATCTTCTTAGTTGCGAGAACAAATTATTCATTTCCCTACAAATGTAGTTTCTATCCCTTGCTCATTCTACAGTCAAATGAGAAATTAATGGGTCGAGAACAGACAATTTCTCATAAAGAGCTGGTTTTTCAGATTCAAGGACAAAAACAATTGAGCCAAATATATTCCACAGACAGAAGAAGCGTATCTTCTTAATGTGGCCATTCTTGAGATATAATAATACAATACATATTCAAACGCATATTATATTTACATGTGCTGGGAGGGCATTTAATATATTAATAATATGGCAACTTATATTATAATGAATAAAACATGGTTTAGCTTTTGTCGGAACATATGCATTACATATAACATATGGGAACCAATAAAGGGCGAAAAAGGGTAATATAATGATGATCCCAATAATAAGGAGGAAGGACGGAAGGAAAGTGGCTGAGGGGCGAATGAGAGGAGGCCATGTTCCTAAATGAGCAAACATGCCTTAATTTGGGGAACAGTACCTCTCAGATTAGGATACGTCTTAAAGTTAGTTATTTGCATAAAACGTCACTATAAGTAACAGAAACGGGTAAACGACAGTTCCCTGTAAAAGCGGTGTTATTATTTTACAAGAAATGATTTATTAATTACTCTCAGAGGCGAAAACGACACGGACGATAACGTTAACGGCGTGACTGGGTGACGACTGATGGGCTTTTGATGGGGCCCGCGCGGGAATCATGATGAGTAAGAGGTGTCAGACCCACCGGGGATATGAGCCCATTCACCTTCCCGAGGTGAATCAAACCCATGGTAACTTTAAATCACGCGCCAATATTACAACTTTAAACCCAATTCTTCCCAAAATTAAACTAAAGTTACTTTCATATTCACGATGAAAAATTACAACTTATATCATGTCTGGAATAGCTCGTTTTCTTCTTTTGTCAACCTTTTTTATTTTATTTTATTGATCCACCTATTTTCAAACTCCTATAATATGTTTAGACTTAACTTCAAAATGTTACAATTAAATACAAGTTTGTAAACAAATAAATAGTCATTTTATATATTAAAATGATTATGCTTTTAAATTTATAACAATTATACATGTACGATTATTTTTTTGGGTCTTTTATGTAATTGTATCTCAATGACATTACTTGAGAGCTGAGACGCCCTTCTGGGCCCTACCTTCATGCACATCTTCTGTCTCACTCACCCACATCACTTCCCACACTTCTAATACTGTGAGAAAATAAAAAAAATAATTTAAACTTTAAAATTATCCAGTTATTTTCACAAGCAAATCAATCCAATTCATGAAAAGGTGTTACTATTTTTAATTGGTAAGCATTCAGAGGTGGATGATTCAGGTCAAGGTTGAAGAATGCATTGATTAATCTGATTCCTAAATGCTAGTGGGTGAAAATTACCCGTGGTAACCGACCTAGCATGGAGCATCTATCCATAACTGGTAAACATAAAGCAGAAACTAGAAAGCGATAAATGAATGGAATGATGAGAGGGCAGACTGGGGATGCCATAACAATAACAATATTAAAGAGAAAAAGAAAAGTTAAAAAAATAACAATAGCTCTAAGCCCAGAGATCGAGTAAGAGTGAAGGAGGAAGGCCGTGTCATTGTCAGCGAAATGGATTGCATTACATTATTACCCTTTTCTCTGCAGACCCTCACAGCGAAGCCAGAGACGCAGAGAGAAA